AGAATGTTTTGCATGACAATCAGCTGCCAGATTAAAAAAATGATGAAGTATCTTCTTTGAGGAAAGACCTAAATTCATTCAAAGAATACGTGAGTATTTAACCACATATTAAACATTACAGTTTAGTGCTTAACATTTATATATTTTTGGCACAATCTTCTAATTATTTCTGTCTTGTTAAGGTTGTGAGAGAGTTCAAGTCTATGAGAACATTGATCAATGATAAATTCAAGATGCTTTCTGACCATCTTCAACAAAATCAGTAAAATGAAAGCTTACACCAGAGAAAGGAACCCATAGGGAGACGTGATGATGGTATTGACACATATGTCGGAGATAATGTTGAGGTTTAACATTTTTAACATCTTTAGCATTTGTTTATATCTCCTGTTTGCTATTATAATTATAATTGTATTTTAAAAGTTGTATGTATTCGACAAGAATTTAACTGTCTCACTAAAATGATAAATGTGTTTGATCAACACATGTATTTAAATGTATTCATATGTATGTTAACCTTAATATGTAATTGGAATTAACTGTTGTATTTAAATATATTCAGCCGTATTTTAATATATTCTGATTTGTTATTCTTGAATATGTGTGCTGTATTTCACTAATATTTCCATTACCAAAATATGTTTTCTTACTGTAATTATATGTATTTAATTGTATCCTTAGACTAAGTTACTACACTAACAATGATACATACAACTAATAGAAACCAGTGCTTAATGCTCAATGTGTGGAGTCAAGAGGTGAGGAGAATACTACATCAGAGGTGTCGTGCAACCTACCATCTACAGGTCAAGATGGCATATCTACAGAATTCTATATATCTCAATTTGAGCTAGACGACAAGTTTCTTCCCAGTCAAATTCCAGAAACTAGACTTGTGATATACAATAGTGCAAAAAAGATGAATCAACCCCAGTACCATCTCATAGGAATCGGCGACCAAGTAGATGGTATTCTTCGCCTTATGAGCCTATCTTCCACTCCGCAGGTTAGTTTTTTTATAAACTAAAGATCTATTTCCTCATGGTTTTTAAATTTAAAAGTCTCTACTCACGAGTTCAATGAACAACATGTACCTCAGTAAAGTTGACCCCTATTTTTGAAAAAAAGACACCCCTTTGAGGATGATTCAATAACAGGGCCACATCCTACATTAATCATTCAGGAATATGACAAATGGGTTCGTGATGGTCTTCTCATTAGACATGATCAGAGGTGAGTTTTCCCCGGTATGTGTATTAAGTTTTTATATTTTAAAAAAGGTATATAATATTTTTTATATCATACTTGTAGAAGTAATTTGGAAGACCATTACAAGAAGAACAAGTCAACACTTCATATACCATTGGATTTTGGAGTTGATCAAGTTAATTCCAAAAATTGGTTTTATCTTCTATCGTTTGACGGGAAGCTATGGGATGACAACGTAAATTTTTTCCTTAACTGACTAATTTTCTTTGAATAACAACATGCATTTGATTGTATTCTGTTGTAGTATTTTTACTGTTTTCAAACACTCTATATGATGAAATGTATGATGAATGCAATGGCATCATTATTCAGCTGTATTCAGTTGTAGTCAATGTTATTAAACTATTTTAATCAGCTGTAGTCAGTTGTATTTTTCTTGCTTTCAGCTGTATTCAGTTGTTCTCAACTGTATTATTCATATGTATTTCTATGTATTCAATTGTATTATTCAACTGTATTCATGCGTATTTTTCTTGCTTTCAGCTGTATTCAGTTGTTCTCAATTGTAATATTATATGTATTTCTCTGTATTCAGTTGTATTCAGCTATAGTCAGTTGTATTCAATTGTTTTAATCAGCTGTAGTCAGTTGTATTCAATTGTTTTAATCAGCTGTAGTCAGTTGTATTCAACTGTTTTATTCAGCTGTATTCAACTGTATTATTCAGCTGAATTCAGTTGTACTGAACTGTATTATTCATATGTATTTCTCTAATTCAGCTATATTCTTTAATAGTTTGATTAATTGGACTCACACCATGTAGTTAAATTTGTGTATAGCATATTGACGTCATATTCTACTATCTGAGAAAGAAGGGAAAGTACAATCAAACAAGCAACTTCAAGTATACAACTGTTGATTGTATATTCAAGACAAGAATCGCTAAAATCTTCAACAGGTATGCTGATACAGATAGTAATGCTAATGTAGCCAAAGAAGAGGATGTGGTATGTGAGTACATAAGGTACTACAGATTGCTAGCTAATGTACCTTGGCATACTGTGGATAATGTCTTGATACCAGTCAACTTGAAGGACAAACTACACTGGGTATTGGTGTTGTCTCATTCAAGGAGAGATGTATCAAAGTGTATGACTCGTACAGATCTGCAGGTCATGATGCATATGTAGCTTCTGAGATTGATAAGCTAGCTAAGCTTGTACCTCTGTATCTATAAATCAGTGGCTTTTACAGAGATAGTCAAGGCATATATTGGTTTACTTACTCAGCATACACTGACAAGTCACATAATGATCCCTTTGAAGTTTTCTCATATACGATCTGCCTCAACAGAAATCTGGGAGCATGTAAGTACTCAATCATCATTCTTGTATGTTATATACAAATCTAATTGTATGAATTATTTTTAATTGTTTCAATCAATTATTTTTTAGGGATTGTGGGGTGCATGTTGGGCATACGCAGAGTTTCTGAGCACTATTGGTGAGATTCCACAAACAACATTTGATTCCAATCTACTCCGTCAAAGATATGGTGCTCTCCTCTGGGACTATGCTATGCGGAAGATAGACGTTGATGCCATAAGCGAAAATGAAGCACCCTCAAAGATTGCTAGGCAAATCACGGAGTCAGATTCAAAGATGTAGATAGTGTTAGAGTAGCTTTAGGTTAATATAGTTTTGGAATGTAGTTTGAAGAAGAATACTGTTTTGAGTAGTTTTTTGGTGAAGATGGTATTTAGTTAGAAAAACTTATCACTTTATCAACAGTGTTCGTGTATGACAATTGCAACTTTTTAATCATTGTTTCACTGGTTTGTTCATAAGTATTCATGCTTAATCTTCAGTTTGAATTCATATGTATCTTACAGGATTCAAGTATGTATTATTCAGTAACTTTGCTTGAACAGGTTTTAGGTATTGAACATGTTAATATCAAAGTCAGAAACTTTATGTATTCTGATGGTAGGTTATATTAAAGAATTCAGATGTATTTTTCTGGATTCAGGTGTATTCAGTTGTATTCAACTGTATTATTAAGTTGTATTCAGCAACATTCCTTTATATGTATCTTTCAAGTTTAGTTAATACATATTAAAGAATACAAATTCAGATGTATTAAATAGGTTATACGTATTCAGCTATATTCAGCTGTAGTTAGTTGTATTCAACTGTTTTGTTCAGCAGTAGTTAGTTGTATTCAACTATATTATTCAGCTATATTCAATTGTATTTTTTGTATTCAGCTATATTCAGTTGTACTCAATTGTATTATTCATATGTATTTCTCTGTATTCAGCTATATTTCACTGTATTCAGCTATATTTTTTAATATGTATCTTTCAAATTCAGTTAATATTTGTTAAAGAATATAAATTTAGATGTATTAAACAGTTTATTGTCTAGTTAGAGAATATAAATTCAGACTTATTGAAATTGTTATATTACAGCTGAGTATAAAGATGTATTCCAATGAATTCTGACTAGTTATGTATATAACTCAGGCATTGTCTATAATAAGTTGTCAAAGTATATGTGGACAAGGTTATATTCGATCGTATCCAACACATTAAGACAACTATATGTATTCAGAATCTATTCACGAAAGTCATTTATGAAATTATTACTTGACAATAAGAATTTATTACTTGAAAATGTCATCATAAGTATTGACAAATCGTTGAAGCACCAATATATGTCAGAGTGTTAACTATTTATTACGTGGAGCATTTCTACACGTTCGCTTGTTATGTCCTCCCTGCCCACATATGCTACATAAATGTTGATTTTTCGGCTGCAACAATTCACTTAAAGGTTTATCGCGCTTCTTCTTTGGTCTTCCAGGAGGTCTTTTCCATTTGGGTGGTAGTACAACTTCCTCTGCAACATGTGCTGGTATATTCTAGTCATTTCTGTCTGGTAGAAGGTACACATGCACATCGTATGCCATTACAACAGTATTGGTTTGTAATAGTTAGAGCAATATTCTTCTGGCATTAGAAACTTGCTCTTCAATACAGCCTAAGCATGTGGGCATGGCAATTCATCAACTTGGAACCTCCCACAAACACATTTTCTCTTTAACAGGCAGACTATGTAATTCCTCCCTCCATCGTTAACCGTATGTAAGTATTCAGTTGATGGTACCACCGACATTTAAAAATAGAAATATAAGTTTTGAGCATATATAACTGTATTACCATATGTATAATGCTGAATTACTCAGTTACATACAACTGAAATATTTGCATACAGATGAATACATCTTATATTTAGACCAGCAGACTATCAACTGTAATTAGTGCAAAACTTATCAAAAGTCTGTTGTACTTTAGGCAACAGGAGGCTAACAAAAACATTAGAAGGATACGTCATAACAATACATATTAAAATTATATATAATACAGATTTGTTAGTTGTATTCTGATATATTCGAATAGTTTTTGCAACATGCGTTTAGTTAAATTCAGTTGTATTCATATCAGATCTTCGGAAAAATATGTCTTGTATGCGTTTGAATTTAGTTGTATTCGTATGTATTCATGGTAGTTGTATTTTAAAAATGATTGTATTCAGTTGTATTCATGCCATTAATTCAGAAAACAATTAAGCCATATACGACAATGACATTAAAAAATAATTTACAGTCATACGTGTAGACATTGCCTCATTCAAAGTCAGCATCTCCTGGTATTTTTTTCCAAGCGTCGTGTATGTCTGTGTAGCTTTTTTACGGTTACTACAATTCCAACGTCCAAACGTCTTCCTAACTTATTCGAGGAAGTCGTATATTGGCAATTCCCTTGCTGAAACTAGTGCAGCATTGATTGACTCGGCAATATTTGACGTCATTGTCCATCCCCTGTTAACAGGTGCATACAACCTAGCCCACTTTTCGTATCCAACTAACTCTAAGTATTCTTTCACCCTAATATCTACCTTCTCCACCTTCTTCATCATACTGTCAAATTCAACTTGTGTGTATGCTTTTTTCATCGAGAAGTATATCTCGCTCAACTTGGCATGGCTCTTTTTGAATTTCTTATATATGTTGTTCCATAGATTCCATATACAAGCAAAATACGGTACATCTGGATACACTCTAGATACAGATTTAATGATACTCTCATTTCTATCTGAAACGATGCACATGTTTTCCCTGTCACCATATGCTATCTTGAATTACTCAAAGAACCACGTCCAAGCAATATCGTTCTCTGAATCAATAACAACATATGCTAGTGGCAATATATGACCTGTAAATACAATTGAATACATATTTTTAAAATATGTATTTCAATATTTAAAATATTAACAGATTGTATTATAATTCAGATACTCACCTGCACCATCCAACGTGCTTGTCGAAACAAATGTCCCGGTGTAGTAAGATTTTAGGTGACTTCCATTCACAACAACAATGGGTCTACAATGATCAAACCCCTTTATAAAGGCATACAAAGATATATACACGTACATGAATTCATTTTTTGGCGATTTTACCATTCTGATGTGAGAACCTGGATATGTCATATCCATTGTATATAAGTATCCTGGTAATTTTTTGTATGAATCAGCCGGTTCACTTCTCAAAAAATTCATTGCCTTTTCTTTAGCCCTCCATGCCAACATGTAGCTAACATCTACACCTAAATCTGATTTCACATCATCAATAATATCCTTTGAGGGGTATTTTCTCTTATGATTAGTAAGCTTAGGCCTTATCATACCACCTATAAGGCTGTTACTTGCATGCCGCTGCTCATACACCTTGTCCTTCAGCGGACATGTATGGTTATCAATGAATTCTCTCACTTTGAATAGTTCTGATTTGTTAATGCTTGAAACCTTAAACCTCCATTCACAATCTTCTGAAATACATAATAATGCATAGAAGCAAAGAATTAATCATTGTACATATGATTAGCATAAGTGTTTACAAAAAAATTCACTCATATACACATGAATACAATCTGATTATTTTACATACTGACATCTATATATATAAATTTGTATACTACTGAATTCAATTATAGTTATATACATTTAAATACAATGAATACAACTGAATACAATTTTGGGTATATGCATACACTTAAAACCACAGTAGACAAAATAAGAAAATAATTAGAGCAACTGTAATGTAATTATACCAGTAAAATACATATGAATACATGTATTTAAAGACCATAAACAAATATATGTTAACTACATCTGTGATAATCAAGAGGAAATCCACAAATACGCATAAATACAACAACGTTAAACTTACAGCTCGAATCAATAATAGAAAATACAAAAAAAAAAACTTAAATACACGCAACCTGACAGCATTAGACCTATCAACATGGAATTGAAACCTTTGAGCTATAGCATAATTCTCCATCACCTCTTTCAATGTAGCCTTATCCTTATACACTTGTCCAGCCATAACCTCCCTTTGATTAGTTTTTGAAATTATCAAATCTTTGTGGAGTTCGAACACTCCAATCGCTTCTCCTGAATTGACAAAATCTAGAGCCAGTGTATCATCTGTATCGGAATCGTACCTTTGAACAACTTCGTCTATTTGCACAATGTCGTCTTGATTTAAACTACATCCGGATACAAGTTCTTTTTCTATAGTTGTTATGCACAAAGGATACATACCAAATTCTCTGTTCTCTTTTTTCAATTCTACATACACTCTGTAACACATATCATTGTGTATTTTCATTGGCGTGCAATTTCCTTCTACTTTGTATTGAATTTTAATGGACTTTGAACTCAAATCTATACCCAGTTGATTAGAAATTGGAGCAACTAGATCATTAAAGGAGGCATACTCCTTTATCGGTATTCCCTTAATTGAAAAATCGATGTAATTGCCCTCATCGTTCCACTTGCCAGAATGACGCAACAACACTGTTAAACTTTCCATATGTATAAAAGGAACTATCCATATTTTGTATATAATTTGTATCAATCTATTTTTTCGTGGTTGAATTGATATCTGCGAACAGAGAAAAAGGAGAAGTGAATGGAAGAACTTCGAACAGATGTTGCTCTGGTTTTCGCTGCTTTTTTTTAGCTTGAATCGTGTATGACAGAATACAGATTAATGGGTACTAATTTTTGTTCGTTGAGTTAAATTAGGAGAATATCATGTGATTTGATTTCCTTCCGTTATTAACTAGTTTAACCTTCCAAATTTTGCGCAGATACGTTACTGTATTCACGTTAATGCCGCGTGAATACAGTTAAATACATATCAACCTTAGCTGGAATTCCCTTTTTAACGCTTATTTTTTCTATTGTATTAATGAATACAATAGCTTAAATACATAAAATACATTGTATAAAAACATAAAAGGTATCTATAACACGTAATATAGCAAAAGATATCTATAAATGACTAATTAGACCTAAAAAGGGTGCTTTATGAAAAATTCTCTTTTAAATAAACTATATCACCAACTCATTGATACTAATAGAATATCCTACCAAACTGCGTAAACACGTAAGCATGCATTGATCATATAGTCTTTTAAATAAAGAATACAGCCCAACCCCCTCCCCCCCAAAAAAAAAAAAAAATCCACTCCAATAATAGTAACCAAGTGTCAAGCTGAGAGTGATTGAAATTATAGCCAATTGCCAAAGCGCACCACTATGAGAAAATATTGTGAAGTATACTCCCACTGACTTAGGCGCTTGCAAAATTTACATAACCAAAGTATTATAACAAATTAAACTAATGCCATGTATATGTCCAGGCTAATAACTTTGTGGAAAAAATGGATAATGTACTAATTTTGAAGGAAAAAAATGGAAAATACATTAGATTAAGTTAAGTTAGAGGGATACTGTTGCTACACCCGTGTTGGATATTTCAAAAAATGTACTAATTTTGAAGGATTCAACACGCACTCGATAATATTTTTGAAGAATTTAAACAACTTGTGTAAATATTTTTTTTGCGCATAACTTAATTTACTTCAAGTAGAATCGTGAACTACAAGCACTCTGCTTCCTGGCACAGTTAAAATTGAATTCTGGCTTTATGGCAGTTAATGGTAAAATGAAAGTATCAAAATCAATCAAGAATTAGACAATTGGTCCCCGTTACATTGCCCCTTGGCGTACTTCAAAATTGTCGACAGTTCCTTGTTCATTTTCTCTATATAAAGCACTCTCCCTTTAGTATCCAGCAAATATATAATCCATTCATTATTTCAGTACTGTTTACAAATAAATTTAGTGTGTGGGAATGGGTAACAAGGACTATGAGTACCCAGCATCAATGAATGGGGAGAGCAGAAAAACACAGCCAGTGGAAATCCCACCACCACAACCTTTTTTTAAGTCTCTAAAAAACACAGTTAAAGAAACTTTGTTTCCTGATGATCCACTTAGACAATTCAAGAATCAGCCACCACGCAAGAAATTCATACTTGGACTTCAGTATTTGTTTCCAATCTTTGAATGGGGTCCTCGTTACACCTTGGATTTCTTCAAATCGGACCTTATTGCTGGGATCACTATAGCCAGTCTCGCCATTCCTCAGGGAATTAGCTATGCAAAACTTGCCAATTTGCCACCTATACTTGGCCTCTGTAAGTCACAACGTTACTCTATGTTTTATATATATTATAATGGTGGTGTACGTGAGTGCACCTCAATTACTTTCCATAATCATTATAGAGATGAATTCAAACTTTAAATTTGATGGGTTTAATTAATCTTTACGTGCTCACTACTGAACCTGGTGCACTCTTGCAATTATGGATTCAGATTTTAAAAACTTTAGCAATTTTTTTAATTTGTACTTTGCTACATGAAAAAGGTATGAGGTCGATTTGAACCCACTGACTATATACATTACAATTTACATGTGCTTCCGCTTACTAGCACAAGTACAGGATAACTATGTCAAGAATTTCCTTAATGTGTGAGGCGTGGTTAATTAGTTAATTACGTGATAACTTATGGGTTTGTTGGTTATTCTGATGACAGATTCCAGCTTTGTTCCGCCATTAGTCTACGCAGTAATGGGCAGTTCAAGAGATTTAGCAGTTGGGACAGTTGCTGTAGCATCACTTCTCATTAGTTCAATGTTAGGGGACGAAGTTAATCCAATTGAGAATCCAACACTTTATCTTCATCTTGCGTTCACGGCCACATTCTTTTCCGGAATGTTTGAAGCAGCTCTTGGAATTTTCAGGTTAGTATATATATACAGTAGAATAATATACTATAAATGAAAGGGTGTACTACATAAATTGGGTCATCAGATGAACTATGTTTTAATCGTTTGATTATGACTATGTCTTTTTGTTAGAATAAGGAACGATTAAGGTAAGTTGATGGTAACGTTAATTGGGGAAATAATTTTTGCATGCAGGCTTGGATTTATAGTGGATTTTCTATCTCATGCAACAATAGTTGGGTTCATGGGTGGAGCAGCCACAGTTGTGATACTTCAGCAGCTAAAAGGGATACTTGGTCTTGACCATTTTACTCAGTCCACCGATGTCATTTCCGTCTTGCGTTCTGTTTTTACCCAAACGCACGAGGTATATATATAAATGTTAGTGTTAAAATGGCCCAAATATGATAATATAATGTGATATTATCCGCTTTGCGATAAGTCCGTATTTTTTCTCAAAAGGAAATTCAACTCGTTATAAGTATTTTTTTTTCTACTTTGCATATTATTGGACTTTGTTCACATACACGTACCCAACAAACCGGCTCATAGACAGGCTAAGACAATAAGCCGGGCTCCCACATCACACTCCGTATTTCCACATAATATGATATTGTCGCTTTAGTTAAGCCTGCACGGTTTTCACACCATTAAGAATTCCAAGCTCCTTATAATAGTTTTTCTCTACTTTTTATGTGATACTTTGTTCGCACACACCAACAATAACTTATTATTGATGTATTTTAATTTGTTGTAACATATAACTTATCTTATTTTTCACGTGTTCTCTTCCCGCCCCCCAACCCCTTACAACATCTGCGACTATTTTCCGTGCAAGGCTATAGCCTTGTTTTCTTGAATATTAATTTTGAAAAGCAAGTATTATTGTTCGATTCTCATTAACTTCTCTTTTCGTTTTAGTTGAATCTTCAAGAGGATTAGTTTTTTTTAATTTTAATTAATTAATATGGTTTATGACTTTGCTTATGGTTAATGACAAAAATAATTGCAGTGGCGATGGGAAAGTGCGGTGCTGGGTTTCTGTTTCCTTTTCTACCTGCTGGGTTCTAGATTCCTTGTAAGTTACAACCAACTTTGATCTATTCAAACTTGAATAGTACCATAAAATCAATTTATTAAAGAGTCTAAATTTTATGCATGTGATATAAGAAATATTTATAAAATCGAGTTATTTATTAAAATAAATAAGGAGTTGGGTCATATATACAATAAATCTCTGCACTATAACTGCTGCTCTTAATTTTAGTTATAATGAAATGCATGCATGCAGAGCCAAAAGAGACCGAAGTTGTTCTGGATATCAGCAATGGCTCCATTGATGTCCGTCATACTGGGAACCATTTTTGTCTATTTCACGCACGCTGAAAAACATGGCGTTCAAGTGGTATGTCCTTTAATTAATTATGTTTTCTTAATTTCTAGAAGGTGTATAATAGAAGTTACAATCCTATTTGGCTTAAAGATTTCAATTTGACTGGTGAGCTACTATACTAAATTAGACCACTGTTCACAACATAAACACTATGGTGGGGTGGGGTGATGTGATATTTCTGCTATTTGGATTACTGCATTTGTGAGTGTTTAATTTGGGTTGTGATTCTTGTGGTTTGAGTATTGCACACGTTCGTTTGATATAGACGACCTACCAATGCCATGATTGACTGATAATTAAATGTTTCAAGGACACTGGCCCAGCGTATTTGCTGTTGGCATTATCTTTGCCCATTTAAAAATAGACATTTCTAGATGATGGTTTTCTTCGTCCTAGAAGTTACTCAATTTTACATTAAACACTATATGACAATGAAATTGAGATAGAACAAAGTTTGAATTACTGTAGTCGATGATTCATTTGTTGAAATATATTATGGTATTAATGTTAGACCGGGTTTAGTTATGGAAAATTTTCATTACTGAATACCATCTGGCATATATCTTACTCCCACCGTTCACTTTCACTTGTGAGCCAAAATACATTTTCACTTTTACTTGTCCAATATACCAAATTAAGAGAAAGACGGTCTTTTTTTTTTCGTTTTACCCTTATTATTAATTACACATTTCCCAAATCATTTCTCAAAACTTTTTGAAATGTTATTATTATTATGGATAAAATTACAAAATACATACTTCATTTGTTTTTTTCTTAAAGAGAGTGCAAAGTCAAAAGCGAACGACTAAAAATGAATGGATGGAGTAGTTAAAGTCCAAAAACATGATGTCGGAATTAAAAATGTAACCTAATGGTTACATATAGAGGTGGCAAAATGGTTAAAAGAAAACAGTTATCCACCCATATTATCCATCAAAATATGGGTTGGATAATGAACCATTTAAAAACGGGTCGAATATGACTATTGAACCATATTATGCACTTAGGAAATGGTTAACCAAATGGATAACCAATGGATAATAATGTATTTAACTTTTACATTTGTAAAGCCTCAAATTGGAGTTCCTCAAGTTTGGAAAATTAGGAATTCTCTCATAAGTGATCATATTTAAGAAGCCGTAGATAATATGGATATCAATATTACCCCCCGGATAAACCCGTTTTTATTCGTCTCAAATACGGATCGGGTCGGATAATTTATCCATTTTTTAAATTACCCGTTTTGACCCGCTCGTATCCGACCCGCGCATTTGCCACCCCAGTTACATATAACTTTATTCCACGTAACTTTGGTGTAGTTTCAATCCAATTAATGGTT